TGTGTGCCTGGTAGGACACACTGAACTGAACTATATCATCTCTGACCATCACAGTTGTTGTATTTCATCCTATTGACCTTGTGGAATTGCCCAAAAGCTTAGCAAAGAGACAAACTCCTCTTATTTGGAAATCCCCTGGCTTTTGAGGAGGCTCAGGGAATCTCTGAACAGTTGAGGGTTCTGATATAGAACAGTTGGTCAACAGTAATTCTGAAGAACTGCAGAAGTTCACAGGATGCAGGCTACAGTGCAAACATGCTGTCCTTGCCACAGGACATGTTATAAGGGTTATAGGCTAATAAAACACAAAACAGAGACTATAGCTATCTTTTTTTGTCTCCACTTCAAAATTTTAATTTTACTTAAAACCACAGATTAGGTTATAAAATACCTGTTATTATTCAAAACAAAAGATGCTACCAAAACATGCAGTTCTGCACAAGGCAAATGTGAATGACAGTCATATGAAGGAAACACAAATTTATAGAATAAAGACAAAGTGTCAGTTTTGCATAATTTTCTAGTAGGTTTTTATCAGCATGAACTGAAACTGTAAATTAATAATAAGAATTGTTGCTTATGCTATTTAAGTTTTATAATAGTGAGATTAAAATGGTTGTCTCCAGAACAAAATTTTGCTGTAAAGATAAACAGAAATGGGAGGGGTTTTATAATCCAAATTAGAATGGTCTGGGTTGGAAGGGACCTTAAAGATCATCCAGTTCCAACCCCCCTGCCATCAGATTGACTTTCTTTCTTCAAATTCATATATGTGCAGCGTAGCCCCTACAGCTGGTTGTGAACCACTGGGAGAGAGTCATAGCACAGATTGCTGAAGGAGATAGATTGGGGATTGGACTGGATGATCTTCTGAGGTCCCTTCCAATCCCTAATACTCTGTGATTCTGTGTGCCTGGTAGGACACACTGAACTGAACGATATCATCTCTGACCATCACAGTTGTTGTAGCCCAGCTTTCTTGTAGCCCCTTCAGGTACTGGGAGGCCGCTATAAGATCTCCCCGGAGCCTTCTCTTCTCCAGGCTGAACAGCCCCAACTCTCTCAGCCTGTCCTCATAGGAGAGGTGCTCCAGCCCTCAGATCATCCTGGTGGCCTCCTCTGGACTTGTTCTTAAAAAAAAGTCACATTCACATATAGCCGTACAGATACTATAAACTCAGTATTACTTTGTGTTAGCTGCTTTCCTAGACTATGATCTTCATAAATCCAGATGAGAACTCCTTAGTGCGCTGAGAAAGAAAATAGGTAAAAGTAGAGAACTTTAAAAATATAATTGCAGAAAGCTGGAGGAGAGGAGATGACAAAAAGTGGCCAAGACTGCATCAATAACATGAGTTAAAAATGTGTGTTCCAGGGTGATACTGTCTTCTAGACAAAGCAGGCCAACTGGGAAGAGTGATACCTGGAGATAAGAGACCAGCTTCAGGCATATACATTATCCACATCTTGCCTGTGTGCACAGCATAGGATTTCTGCTATTTTACATTTGTGTAGTTACAGTTTATAACTTTGATGAAGTTTGCTGAGTATAAAAAACATGAGCTAGCAAAAGAGCAAAGTAGCTGGGAGGTTCACAGAAAGTAAAATATCTCTCTGAAATTTACTGAAGGATTCAGGTAATACAGCAGAAATCCATCTTCTGTTACATGGGATGCGTGGCAGATTGCATGTGGAATTGGATAACAGCTACTGAAACTGCAAACAGCAGGAGGAAAACCGAGTAGTGCAATTCATTTGGCCATCCCCTTCTAAAAGCACGTGGACAAGAAGTTGCATCTTGTCCAAACATCTTTTCTACATTTCATATAAAAGCTTTAGAGGATGTTTAACCTAATTTTGCCTCGGAGTAGCTTATAGTTAAATGCAATTTAGAGGAGAAAATGTGAATTCCAGGGGTTTGAAATGTGCTTAGCAGTAGTTGAAGGGATGGGGTCCGGTCTCTGTGTTTGTAAGCATACTTTCAAATTGCTTATAAGAGTAGTATTTTTTTTCTTTCCTTTGACAAAGTGTGCAGCAACTTGTATTCATTGCTTAGTGTACACAAATTCTCAAGCCCTTTCCTATTCAAGTATAGACTAAAATATGTTTATCTAAATATTTTTGATGAAAGATTTCGTCAAGAGCTCAGAAGCATCCCTTCAAAATTGTTACACGGTACCGAATCCCAGTTAATTTCATAGGAGAAGTCAGAAGCGTGCTGTGATGGAACTACTAGGTGAACTGCTCTTTCTCCACAGACGAGTTGTTTTTCCTTTCTAAGTAGGTTCCCTTCATCAGGCATTTGGTTGTGGGCTCAACTGGAATTAGAGCACAGCATTGGGGTTTTTTTGTACAGTCTGTGTTTATAGATTTTACGCAGAAAGGTGGAAACCATTAAGCATGAGGTTTCCAAATGCTTTGGGACAGAGGCTGTTATTTCTGATGTTTGTACAAGAAGACAGCACAGCCTAGTTTGCTTCTAGCACTTAGGCTACAGCAGTAAAATGTGTATTATTTCGAACATGCACAGTGTCTCCAGTAGCAAACAAAGGTTGTAACTTGCATGTAAATTGATTTCCCAGATTATTCTGCATCTCGGTGGATAAAGGAGCTGTGTCAGGAGTAGAGGAGAAGAAGAACCAATGCTAAAATATAAATATCAAGGGAAAAGTAAACAAATTCCAGTTAAAAAGTTAGACTTCGGTCTTTTTTGTGTATTCTTCCTTTTTTTTTCCTCTTGACTTGGCCTCAGGCTGCACCAGGGAGGGTCAGATTGGATATCAGGAAAAATTTTTCCTCTTGACTTGGCCTCAGGTTGCACCAGGGGAGGGTCAGATTGGATATCAGGAAAAATTTATTTGCTGAAAGGGTCATCAGGCACTGGAATGGGCTATTTAGGGAAGTGGTTGAGTCACCATCCCTGGATGTATTTAAAAGACGGGTAGATGAGGTGCTCAGAGATATGGCTTAGTGGTGGACAGGTATGGTTGAACTCGATGATCTCAAAGGTCTTTTCCAACCAAGCGATTCTATGATTCTATGATTTATATTCTGAATTTTAGTATGAGTCCAAATGCAAGATCTTGCAGGCTGAGCCCAAAAAAATTCCTAGTTGAGAAAATTTGATTTAATTTCCTGAAATATTTTGCCATGCAGTGGTCCCCATTGCCTTGTCACTTGTAAAATCACTTCTCACATCAGCAAAACAGTATTTTCTGAAAAAAATACTCTTGCATGTTCTATTAGTGGATGACAGCGGGGTGAGTCAGACATTCAGAGTTGTAGCACCGAAGGGGAAATGAGCGTAAATTAATTTGTCCTGCAGCAAGGCAAATAGTTGGGCCACTGCCAGTCATTTCTGTGTTCTGTTTTCATAGAAGCCTCCTGGTAGCATTAATATTTTGTTTCTGTATCTTAGGTGCACTGTTGGAGAAATAACAGATGCAATGAAGAAAGTGTTTGGGGAGCATAAAGCCAGTGACCGAATGGTGAGCGGAGCTTATCGCCAGGAGTTTGGAGAGAGTGATGAAATCCTTCATGCCATCAAAAGGTGAGAATAGCTTCCCAGGAAGCCAAACACAGCCTCACATTTAATCCATGAGATACATGTGCTTGTCACTGTGCCCTAAAAAAGCATTCCCCAAACCTGAATGGCATCCCCAGAACAAAACAGTGAGCTGCATAAGCACTCTTATGCCTGTAAGCAGAATAAGGAGAAATAAGTGCAATAAGAGAATAGTCAAAACTTAATTGAATTTGTATTTGCTTGCAAACAAAATTCACTGAGGTAGTGTTATGATTTGAGGATTTTGCTCAAATAGACTAGGCAGCCATAGGATTAAGAAGCTAAGAAACATTGCTTGAAATCCCCATAATAATAATAATAATATTTAAAATTTAATTTCCAGCAATTCATATTTACAAACCTGGTTTTGATCTGCCGATAAGCTCTCCTTGCAACTTCACTCTTACTGTTCCTAAAATTAATATTTAAAATTTAATTTCCAGCAATTCATATTTACAAAACCTGGTTTTGATCTGCCAATAAGCTCTCCTTGCAACTTCACTCTTACTGTTCCTAAAATTGTAAGTCTAACATCTGTCTGGACTTCCACATACAACTTTGAGTCTATGGGTGTTACTTACTCATATCACGAGGGAGAAAACATCAGAAGGTGGTAGTTATGTGTGAAAACAGTTGCCTAGTTGTGCCTTTTGTCAGCTTCTGCCTTTTCTACTGTCCTCTTGGGTGAAGAGACTGAATTGCTGGAGTGGGTGGTGATGTAATACGAATCGATGCTCATAACTCCCTGCTGTGTTGGAGCTTACACTTTAAAGAGTTACAGACTCTCTTGAAAGGTATTACTTGATGGCTTCACAATGATGATGTTTAGCTTGACTTGAAAGTAGTTGTTCTGGGGGATGCAACGATCATTTTTAATTTAAAGTATTTGTATTAAGTTTAAGTATTTGTAATTATGCATTTACATGAAACTGAACTGATTGCTTGAGAATCAAGATGTAGCTCCCTTTTTTACATACCTGCCTTTACGTCCAAGGTCATATGTACCAGTTAGTAAATGTGGTAACAAAACTGGATTTACTATGTGTCACCTTTGCATAGGCCTTCAAAAGTGTGATTTCACACTTGCCCGAGACTTAAACCAAGCCCTGAGTTGCAGTGACTCAGGTGGTCTTAGCCTAGCGAGACTGGAGCACCTAGAGCTGTTCTTGTTGAGAGGGAGCCCTGTGGGTGGGGAAGTAAGGAAACAAGAATATGGGAACAGAAAACAATACACAGAAAAAGATTTAAAGATATCACAAATCAATTTAGATACCTACTTCACGGATATTCTCAACAGTCTGTAGGAATTGAGAAAGCAGCCCCAACTCCTATACATCCTCAAGCAGCAGCTTTGTCAATCTGCTTCTTCAGGCTCTCTTGACATAATTCACAGAATCCCAGAAAGGTGGGGGTTGGAAGGGACCTCAGGAGATCATCTAGTCCAACCCCCCTGCCAAAGCAGGTTCACCTAGAGCAGGTTGCACAGGAGATTTCTAAAATTCCTTTTTAGGCTGTCTGAGTTCTTATTTTTTCCCTGTTACATGAAGCATGTTCCTGTCCTGGAATTATCTCCTGAGGCTGTTCAAATCTGTATTGATAAATGCTTTCTCAAGAGTCATTCTTTTCCCCAAACTAAGCCACTGGATTCATACAGTGATCATCACAGCCAGGTCAGCATATGGTTTCAGGGTGCACCAAATCCATAAAACTCCATCATTAACAGAATGCTCAGAACTGTACAATGTTAAAAAACCCTTTCAGTAATATTCCTGAGAGGCAGTAGTCTTAGTGTCCCACTCAAAGACAGATACTGGTGGTACATGGATAATGAGAAGTAAGATGGAAGATTAATCTCTGAGGCTTGTGGTTACACAGTCACTTTAATACAAGAGAAACCTGAACTGCCACTAGCCAGAAAAAGGGAGGCACTGGAATCATAGAATGGTTTGGGTTGGAAGGGACCTTAAAGATCATCCAGTTCCAACCCCACTCCCATCAGCAGGGACACCTTCCACTACACCAGGTTGCTCAAAGCCTTATCCAGCCTGGCCTTGAACACTTCCAGGGAGGAGCAGCCACAACTTCCTTGAGCAACCTGTTCCAGTGTCTGACCACCCTCACAGTGAAGAACTTCTTCCTCATATCTAATCTAAACCTCCCCTCTTTCAGCTTAAACCCATTTCCCCTTGTTTTGTCATTAACTGCCCTTATGAAAAGTCCCTCCCCAGCTTTCTTGTAGCCCCTTCAGGTACTGGGAGGCCGCTATAAGATCTCCCCAGAGCCTTCTCTTTTCCAGGCTGAACAGCCCCAACTCTCTCAGCCTGTCCTCATAGGAGAGGTGCTCCAGCCCTCAGATCATCCTCGTGGCCTCCTCTGGACTTGTTGTAGTGCGCAGAGTGGGGGATACAATGATCCTTTTCTGCACAGACTCGTGCACAGTTGAGTGATGATGTGCACCATGATGTCTAAGGACCCATCTCTATAGCCTGTGTACCATGCAAGTACTTTAGAAACAATCATCGGTCATATTTATTCTTAAAATCTAAGAACTGTGTTTTAGTTCGTTGTAACTCAGCTCATTAAACCCTCGGGGAATTCAGTATTTTGTCTGTTAGAAAAGAGAAAAGTAGTGGGGTGTTTTTCTTTAAAAAAGTGTGTTTTATTTTTGAGGTTGGTAAATACAAGAAATCAGTTAGTAATCGTGTAACATGAATAATAACAGAGTATGCAGACTACATAGACTTTGAAGATCTTTTTATTTGATGTACAGAAATTAATGCTACAGTTGCAGCCAGTGCTTTTTTTATTTGTAGAAATACTTCTATTGATTCTCAGTGACTTACTAATGATACAATACGTGTTTTCCATCAGAGTTAACAAGTTCATGGATCGTGAGGGGCGCAGGCCTCGTATACTTGTTGCAAAGATGGGTCAAGATGGCCATGACAGAGGAGCTAAAGTTATTGCTACAGGATTTGCAGACATTGGCTTTGACGTGGACATAGGTCCCCTCTTCCAGGTATGACTGATTGAGGGGTGTCCAATGTATTTCAAATGCAGCAATTTTCCCTCTAACACTTGTTCAGCAACCAGACTGGGGCTGTTCACTTGTCACATAATCCTCTTTCCACATAGACACCTCGAGAAGTGGCCCAGCAGGCGGTTGATGCAGATGTGCACTGTGTTGGTGTGAGCACACTTGCAGCCGGTCATAAAACTCTTGTGCCTGAACTCATCAAAGAACTCAGCGCCCTTGACCGGCCAGACATTCTTGTCATGTGTGGGGGTGTCATCCCACCTCAGGTATGGGTCATCAACATCATTTCCATCAAGACTAGGAGACTGCTTTATTTCTGTCTGTGCTGTTTTTAGCTATTCCCTATGTTCTGTTGATGTCAGAGGTGATTTACAGCACTGAAGGCTACTGTGTACAATAGCCAGGGTGAGCACAGATCTACAGGATGGTTGCAGAGTGTTGCCAGGTCTCATTGATCTGGTTTTCTGTACACTGTGTGCTGGTTTAACTTACAGTGTTAGTTGGATGGAATATTAAGTTGTGTTGTGACAAGGGTAGCCTCAGGGAGATGTTCTTTCTGCTCTGTTGTTTCCAATTACCGGTCCCTTACATATTAACAAAAGCTAGCTCCTGTCTTAAGAGACTTTTTGACTTCCAGTAATAGCTTGGAAGAGGCACTGCTAGTTACTAAGACGTGGTGGGTCCGAAAACTTATAGGCTACACATCTTATTCACTGTTTAGCCTCTCCTAGAGGACTCCCAGATTCCTTTCCCCTTCACTGCTCTCCAACAGGTCTGTCCCCAGCCTGTACTGGAACCTGGGGTTGTTCCTGCCCAGATGCAACACCCTACACTTGCCCTTATTATATTTCATGAAGTTTTCCTCTGATGCTGTGGTGTCTCTCTGGGACTTGTTGCATATGATTTCTCAGGCCCAGCACGCAGCACAGAGCCCACACCATTTGTAAAGGTCAATTTTCTGTCACACTCTTAACTGCAGCTCTTAAATTTCTTTCTGAACAGGATTATGACTTCCTGTACGAAGCCGGTGTTACCAATGTGTTTGGTCCAGGGACTCGTATTCCAAAAGCAGCTGTCCAAGTGTTGGATGAAATTGAGAAGTGCCTAGAGAAGAGGCAGCAATCCATGTAACGCTGAGATGTCACACAACGGAACCAGCCTCATACTAATTGCTTACAGGATGTAATCATCGGCAAGGGACGGCCAGCCACATACCTTTGGTTCCACTGCCCTGTGGCCTGGTGTTTTGTGCTTTCTGAGAAAGTTGTAAATTCTCTGCTTGTTCTACTTGAGGATTATTTATCTATGTACCCACAAGAAAATTTTATCTCTAGAACTATGGCTTCAGGGAATTAAGGGAATTGAGTAGGTGGGTTTGGTTGGGTTTTTTTTCAGATATAAATAAACTATCCTTTCCAGCTCTTTGGTTGATCTCTTTGCATGCAGATAACTTCTTTTGAATTTTTTGGCAGGCATTGTAGACCTAGAAGTCTTCAGGCAAAATCACTGAAGTTCAGCAGAGATGTGATTAAATCCAGCAGCGCTTTGATGTTAATGTTAATCTGACTTAACTCTCTTTAGAAACATATAAGTAGATAAACCATAAATTTTCAAAGTTCACGGTTTGTTTAATAAGATACAAATCCTGTATCTGACAGTAACCCGTATAGGAGCATCTGTGCACCTCTGCTCTGTCTACATCCCTGCCCTTCCCCTGATACTGTTTCTCAAATGAAGTTCATTCCAGTGCTCCTTCTCTCTTACTTAGTTCTGTATTTTTGACCAGTTTTTGTTCTTGCTGTCCCTGTGTATTTAGCATTTGAACTTTCTTCAGGTACCTCATAGAATCACAGAATGGTCTGGGTTAGAAGGGAACTTAAAGATCATCCAGTTCCAACCCCCCTGCCATCAGCAGGGACACCTTCCACTAGACCAGGTTGCTCAAAGCCTCATCCAGCCTGGCCTTGAACACTTCCAGGGAGGAGCAGCCACAGCTTCTCTGGGCAACCTGTTCCAGTGTCTCACCACCCTCACAGGAAAGAATTTCTTCCTCGTTTCTCATCTAAATCTACTCTCATCCAGTTTCAAGCCATCACCCCTTGTTCTGTCACTCCCTGCCCTTGTAAAAAGTCCCTCCCCAGCCTTCCTGGAGCCCCTTCAGGTACTGGAAGGACACTAGAAGTTCTCCCTGGAGCCTTCTCCAGGCTGAACAGTGAATGGCAAATGGTTACCGACTAAAATCTCAGCTGCTGCACACACACCTCATCAACCTGGCTGCTTTATAACTGCACTGCTGTTCAGGCTAGTGAGAATTTGGGTTAGCACAAAATCAAGTAGGCACTCTGCAAACATCCTGAAACATTTTGTTTCAATAGGAGTATTTTTGGCATATTCCAGGACAAAATGATAATGATAAAACATGGTACTAGACACTCAGATCTTTACAATAGGAGTGAGGAAGGGACCAGCAGGTTACTGTATGGCTAAGTAATTACCCTTAGGAAGTTCCATAATAGTGGGTATTTTTTTCTCTGTAAGGCAGTTTCTGTTTTACAAAGATGCCAGGGATACAGATGGACAAAGGGCTGGAGATTTGGAGATCCTGATTTATGCCTAGGAGTTGACTTACTGCAATGCATTGTCTTTCATGAAAGAAGCTATGATAAAGCAAGGACGTGGGCACAGCACCAAGTCCCAGCCCAGTGCTCTAACTTTCAATCGAGAAACAAACTTCCCTTTTGACTTTGAATTGTAAAGTAACCTCCCAACCATGGTAAACCATCCAGAAGACAAATTCCTATAAGAGAGTAGCAGTCTCTTCTTTATTCTTAGTGTTTCACAACCTTCAGGATTGATGCTTTGGCGCTTGAGTTAAGCTGTTCATCAAACAGTCGGTGCTTTACAATGATGAGCAGCAAGACCATGTCTATTGTATGGTTAAGAGAGGAACCCAAGACCAAGTTTAAGTGATTTCCCCAAAGTCCCATGGTGTTCCTGGCCAGGTCTTCTCCGTGTTAGCCTCATGCTCTAACTGCTAGAATGGTGACCTCCTGCAAATAGTTGATCTTTGTTCTGAAATGAGTCATATTTAATTTTACAAATGGAAAATTGACCCTTAATAGATGTCATCTAGTTCTGTAAGTTATTCCCATGCTGAGATGGACAAACTGCCTAGAAGGTTCTTCAAAGTAAGACACTGAATTCCAATTTATTTTAATGAAAATCAGGATGCTACTTGTGTTAATTTATATGTCATCATCTGAGTAAGGAGCTCCATTTATCCTCAGTGGAAAGATAAGAGCCGAAGCTGGCTGGCTCAGGTGTGGATGTCTGTGTTGTACATGTACACGTTGTGGTGAGGTAGCTCTTAGTGTGAGAGCAGGTTACATGTTCTTGGGGTTTTTACCTTGAATATTTGTATTGGGATGACTGCACTGGTGATTGCAAACATAAGATGCCCAGATTCACTCCTGAGGTAAGCACTTGCATTCTGCTTCAGTGTCTTAGAAGTTTCCTTAGTTTGACAACACAGTCCAGGGCTGGGCAGGAAATACCATGAAATTAGTTATAATTTGACCATAAATCAACTTAATTAAACTTAAGAAAAAATCAACTAGTCTCCTATATAGTAGGCTATACTTCATTTCCTAGTTCTCTGGTCAAGGGCAGCCCTGCTTTTTAAATTTTCTGCATATAACATAAAACCATCTAAAATTCAGAGTCTCTACTGGAAAAGTTTTGATTTGCTTCTCACTGAGTCTGAAAAATGAAAGAGAGATTGAGCCATTTTCGATACACAAACACCTGGACCTTGACTTTTAAAAATGAAGTATATAGGTAATAAATCAGGCTAGTAAAGCATTATACTTAAACATTGACAATATACAGATCTGTTTTGTAGAGTGGCGTGTTTTTCATCTTGCGTACACTTCAGGAGCAGTTACAAGTGGATGTGGACCTGTTCTCCTCCCAAGTTTTTCACAGAGGAAGCTCAGGTTATATTACGTTATTAATGTGCATCTCGTTGTTCTGTTCACAAATCTGCAATTAGCAGATGGGAATATATATATTTTGCTGTTTATTTTAAACATCGAGCAACTGAGCAAGTGAAAGCAAAAGCTCTGAGGTGGAAGATGATTATTAAAATAGTGTCATTTTGCCTATCAAGATTATTTTTTAAAACTGAAAAAATGCTGATAATTGACATTTACCATAAAAAGTCCTTTCCCAGCATTTTTTCCAACTGCTGACACAGTCCTCTGACCCCTCTTGTCTTTTACACTATTGTCCCTTTGGCATTTCCCTCTGCCATCTCCTCGCCCTCCCCCCAAACACACTTCCATATCCCTCTCCTGTCTCTCTTCTCTCCCCATTTATTTTCCTTCAGCTTCCACAAGCTCCCCTCTCACTTCCTGGTGTTTTCTCCTGATTCCTCCTCCCTTTCTCCATTTTCCTGTGCCATGGGCAATCAGAGGTGACTGTTTCCCAGAGGATGCTTCACCTCTTCAGATTTGGGACAGAAGACTGAATGTGCCTCATTCCATATGGAGCATCTGTGAGTGACAACCCAAGACAAGATAATGTCACCCTGGAGGCCAGTTTAATTTAGGAATTTTTCACAGCTTTTTACAAATAAACCTACTTTAATCTAGTGGAATATTTATGAGAGTTGGTGACACTGCCAGTGGCAGGAGTTCAGGGGAAGGCAAGCTCCTTAAAGTTTCCCAATCCCCCAATTTAGTAATTAATTTGTGCCTTAGTATTATGTTACAGCTCTCATTTTATTTGTTCATTTGTAATTGAGACTCCACGGTAACAGAAATTCTTGTAGCCACAGAAGTGCTTGAGCCCATCTTTTAATCCTGTTCTTGGCCTTAGCTGTAGTTTCTCAAATGAAACTAATTATTAGGGTTTGAGTGTGGTAGAAGTTTTCAAGAACGCAAAGTCCATTCGCTGTTGTTTTAAATTGTTGTTTGAAATTTGTTCCAAATCTGCCTGTGTTTAACTCTTCTTGTCTTCACCAAATCTGATGCAGATAGATGTGGTCAACTGAGCAAGCAGGGGAAGGAAGAACTGCTGCAGCTATCAAGCCATATTTTGTACAAGACGTGTGTTTATGTCCTTTAAAATCACAAACACTAAGTCAGAGAGAGAGATTTAAACTCTAGAGTCACAGAATCATAGAATGGTTTGGGTTGGAAGGGACCTTAAAGATCATCTAATTCCAACCCCCCTGCCATCAGCAGGGACACCTTCCACTAGACCAGGTTGCTCAAAGCCTCATCCAACCTGGACTTGAACACTTCCAGGGAGGGGGCATCCAAACGTGTAGGACCTCATCATTTCCACCTCGCAACCCCTTTGTTAAAGCTGGCTGGCAGGATGATGTTCTGGTTGTCCATATGCTTGAAACTGAATCAGCAAACTCTGTTCTCAGTTGCAATGTGTCAGCGCTCCAGTCAGTGGGGAACTCTGGATCTCAGGAGCTCCCACGGAAGCGATGTGAGCTGCAGGCTTACTTACTGCTGGGCGGGTTATCCTGGGGCTATCTGTTGGCATTGCTGCACAGAGTGTTCCTCCAGACAACAAATGCCCCGACAGCTTTCATGGTAGAAGAACTTTTACACTTCAGCAAGCAACAGCGTAAGCGCACAGTTCCTTTTACTAAGAGATTCCTTCCATTTCTTCCCCCTGTACTGGGCACTGGTGAGGCTGCACCTCAAGTACCGTGTTCAGTGTTGGGCCCCTCACTACAAGAAGGACATGGAGGTGCTGGAGCGTGTCCAGAGAAGGGCAATGGAGCTGGGGAAGGGTCTGGAGCAAAAGTGTGATGAGGAGCAGCTGAGGGAACTGGGGTTGTTGAGCCTGGAGAAGGGGAGGCTGAGGGGAGACCTTCTGGCTCTTTCCAACTCCCTGAAAGGAGGGTGGAGAGAGGTGGGGGTGGGTCTGTTCAACTGAGGACCAAGTGACAGGACAAGAGGAAATGGCCTCAAATTGTGCCAAGGGCAGTTGAGATTGGATCTGAGGAAGAATTTCTTTGCTGAAAGGGTTCTCAGGCATTGGAAGGGGTTGCCCAGGGCAGTGGTGGAGTCCCCATCCCTGGAGGGATTGAAGAGTTGTGTAGACATAGTGCTGAGGGACATGGGTTAGTTGGGGACATGTCAGTGTGAGGTTAATAACTGGACTTCATGATCTTAAAGGGCTTTTCCAGTCCAGGCAATTCTGTGATTCTCATGGTGCTATCTGTGATACGCAGAAGACATCCTTCCCCGACTGCCACATTCCCACCTAACCTCTTCCAACTAAGGCTGCTCAACTCCTTTTTGAGCTCGTATTTTGAGGAGCTGGAACTAT